TATGAAAAACTATAATTTGTTTTTAGAATATATTATACATACTTACATTTATTTATTTGAGATAGTCTTACTTTGCCACCCTCAGTAGAGTGCCATGTGTCACAGCTCATAGCAGCTTTAAACTCACGGGCTCAAGTGATTCTCTTGCCTCTGTCTCCCAATAGCTAGGACTACAGGCATCCTACAACACCCAGCTATAGCTGTCATTGTTGTTTATCAGGCCCGGGTGGTTGGAACCCTCCAGCCCCAGTATATGTGGCCGCCACCCTAACCACTGAGTTACCAGCACCAAGCCCATACTTACATTTAAAATTGAGAAGCAATAGTTACAAAAGCTGGAAATAAAATGGTATCATGTAATAGTTTTGTAATATGTTACAATTTACAAAGAACTTGTTTTTTTTTGAAACAGAATCACTCTGTAGCCCTGGGTAGAGTGCCCTGGAGTCATAGCGCTCAGCAACCTCAAAATCCTGGGTTGAGCGATCCTCTTGCCTCAGCCACACCAGTGGCTACTCGGACTACAGGCACCCACCACAATACCCAGGTAATTTTTCTATTTTTAATAGAGATGGGGTCTGGACCTCCTGAACTCAGACACTTCACCTAGCTAGGCCTCCCAGAGTGCTAGGATTATAAGCGTGGGTCACCGCGTCTGGCCCAAATAATATTTAGAATAAATTATCCCATAGAACTCAATGAAACTTCCAAGTAGATATCATCACTTCCATTTTACATATAAGGAAAAGTAGGTTCAAAGAAAGTTATAAAACTGCTCTAGTACTAGTGAAGCTGGGTTTACAACCCAGTTCTTTCTACCTGAACAGTCTCAATTACATCAACAAACCAACACCTTGTTATTGAATCAGTATGCCTTACACCCTTCACCATGGCTGTGCCAAACTAACTGTTAACAAGCAAAAATAATACAAATGCACTGGCTACTTTGAGGCAATCGATACAGAATCCTGACTCAAGGTGACCTGGGTCACAACCTACACAAGAAGTCCCTGCGCAAAGCAAAGCATACTTACTATCCATCCATAATTGAAAGTGGAGGCTGCTCAAAAGGTAGATAGAATACAGTGATGTTGAGTCTCCCACTGAGCAATCCTGGGGAAGTCTCGTAACTAAAGGAGGGACAAGTAGGAGGTGTGAACAGCCCCAATGCACAGTAAACACCGACCAGGTTTGTAAGTGACAGGGATCCTCTCCACCAGGCGTACAACAGAGCTAAAAAGGGTCTCTACCCGAGTCCTCCGCGCTTCAGAGGATCCAATAGCTCCTAAGAAGGTCTCCGTTTGTCAAAGAATTCCTGCATCCCTGGCCTGAAGACATGTTGGATGACATAAGAAGAACCGCTGCCGCCGCCAACAGGCCCCGACTTGCCAGCAAGGTGTTCCCTAAACGTCTATTAACTTTTCTGGAAGATCCCGGGGGAAAACCTGGTTACAAAGGCTTGTAAGTCACGGTTATTGGTCTCTAACAACGAATGTAACTGGCTCAGTTGCTCGCTCACCCTTCATATCCCAAGATTTTTAGCCTTTCCTCAAGAGACATCACCTTTTCCCACGTAGTCTGTCCCCAAGCCAGGAAAAAAGGCCGAGCTAGAGCAGCGTGCGTTGCGAAAGGCACGCACTACATATCCCAGGGGGTGTTGCGGCGAGGTCGGCGGAATGGACGTCGCTTACGTATTTGGGGGGAATTCTGGGAGTTGTAGTTCGTTATCGAGACAGACACAGTATGCCTCAACCTATACTGAAGACAATGTCCTTCAGGCCAGTGTTTCTTTACCATCTGAGGTTTTTCCTCCAGTCTCAGAAGACTGATATCTATATGCCAAAAATAATATATTTATTTATGTAGAGACAGAGTCTGACTTTGTCGCCCTGGGTAGAGTACCTTGGCGTCACAGCTCACAGCAACCTCCAACTCCTGGGCTTAGGCGATTCTCTTGCCTCAGCCTCCCAAGTAGTTGGGACTACAGACGCTCGTCACAACGCCCAGCTATTTTTTGTTGCAGTTTGGCCGGGGCGGAGTTTGAACCCGCCACCCTCGGTATATGGGGCCAGCGCCCTACCCACTGAGCCACAGGCGCCACCCAACCAAAATTAAATCAGAAAGTGTAAACATGGAAACGACACATACAGATTTTGTATCTTATTTTAAGTGTATATGAACCAACTCTATCAGGTAGCTATAAAAG